ATATATATAAAACATATTCGTATATATTCGTTAGTATTATGAACTAAATTTGAACAGGGTAAAAGTACATTTTGACGCCCCTTTCTTAAAATAAGTTAAAATCATCTTTGGCGCGTGACATCTCGGCGACACCCTAAACCCCCATCGGAACGCTTCAGTCGATGATTCAGTATTATAACGCATGGCCGTATTCTTAATAGTTTCGCCCTTCCTTTAATTGTGTGACTGAACCACAAAGACTATCTCTTTCTTATATAAAGTTCGAATGCATGACTTTTGAGGCCTCCTGTTTTATTTTTATATATAGAGATAAAGATGAGATGACATAAATGCAAACATGTGAGTGCTCTGATGGGGTTTGCTTCTTCTTCCCTATCAAACGTCAATTGTCTGTATCTCCCCTCCTTCTATTTTGTGTTTGTTACTCTCTTGTAACACCTCTAACTTTCGGCACTTATATGGCCTTATTTTGTTGCAAGTGCCGTAAAACACTTACTAAAACAATAATGCAAACAGCTATGAAAGCCAATTTTGATTTACAGCTGATTGAGTTTCTTCACAATTGTTGAACTGCACCCCCCCCCCCCTTTTCAATAAAAAAAAAATCAACGAAAACCCCCACAAAACAACTAAACAAAAACAAACAAAAACAAACAAACAACAACAACAACGACAATAACAACAACAACAACGACGACGACAACAACAACACAATGTAAATTTTATGTTGAAATCTGTCTCTATTTATTCCCCACAGCGGAAACTTCGCTGTGGTCCGGCGAGTGACCTATCGGGACAGCGGCCAGGAGTATGCCGCCAAGTTCATCCGAAAGCGTCGGGGCGGGGGCCGCAAGGGGGCGCGCATGGAGGACATCCACAAGGAGATCAGCATCCTTCGGTCCCTGGACCACCGCAACGTCATCAGTCTGTACGAGGTGTTCGAGACCTCACAGGAAGTGATCCTGATTCTTGAACTGTGAGTGCTGTGCTGCTGCTTCTTTCGAGCGTGTGTTGGTGATGTTTGTGGGTTTTGTGTGTGTGTGTGTGTGTGGAAAGGGGGGG